GTTTAATATGTGATTCAAGTATATAACATGCTAAGGGTAGTGTACTTACGAATTGAAGGCAAATGAGGGTGTTTTCGGCCTAAAGACACTTCCTTTCACTCATTCCTTTGGTGTACTAAGCTTAGAATGCTCAAACAGACTCTAAACAGTGCTAAAAGTTAGTAGAAACAAGTCTGAATTTGATTGAAGTGAATGGTTTTTACAAGATACAAATTTCGGGTTGTCACAAAAATTCAATCGATTTTGATTATGATTTAATTTTTGGTGTCCCAGACAGGGCTGTTGATGTTGAAGTTAATGCTGTTGATAATCAAACACCCGAATCCTCGAAACATACTGATGATTCAACACTAACTTCGGATACTATTACAAATGGCGAAAGTATGCTAGATGATCGTTTGGAGGGGGAGCATACGAATATACCTTCAAGTGTTGAGGGGGAGCATCCTTTCGAGGGGGAGAAGAGTAGTATGAATGATAATTTCGAGGGGGAGCATCAAAATGACAATTATGTTGAAGGGGAGCATAATGAAACAGAAACAATAAATCTTGATCAAAATGATGAATTTCATGAATTTAATGATAATATTTATGTTTCAGGATCTGAAAATGAAGATATGTATGAAGATGCACCATTGTAATTTGATCCAGCATATCCGCCACTTGAGAAATGGACGAAAAATCATCCGAAAGAGCAAATTATAGGAAATCCACAAGATGGACTTTTAACGAGAGCTCAAATTCGTGCGAAAAATGAGGTACTCAATACGAATCAAGAATTATGCATGTTTAATGTTTTTATTTCGAAAATTGAGCCAAAGACAGTTAAGGTTGCTATGGAACACTCAGATTGGGTTGTTGCAATGTAATCTGAACTTGCTGAATTCGAACGAAATAAGGTTTGGAGATTGATTCCAAAACCAAATGATGTTTCGATTGTCGGGTTAAAATGGATTTTCAAAAACAAAACCGACAAAGAAGGCAATATCATTCGAAATAAAGCTAGACTTGTAGTTAAAGGTTATTTGCAACAAGAAGGTATCGACTATGAAGAAACCTTTGCCCCTGTCGCAAGACTCGAGGCTGTTCGAATATTTTTAGCCTATGCAGCTCATATGGACTTTGATGTTTATCAAATGGATGTCAAATGTTCATTCTTGAATGGAGAGCTTGAAGAAACTGTGTATGTTGAACAACCACCAGGTTTTATTAACGAAGAATTTCCTAATCATGTATACATCTTAGATAAGGCTGTTTATGGGTTAAAACAAGCACGAAGAGCATGGTATGCAACACTTACCAATTTCTTAAAACATTCGAAATTTAAACAAGGATCAGTTGACCCCACATTATTTCGTAAGAAAGTTGGGAATCATCTAATGATTGTTCAAATTTATGTTAACGATATTATTTTTGGCTCTACTGACCCAGCTTTGTCTAGTGAATTTGAGAATTTGATGAAGAGTAAATTCGAAATGAGCATGATGGGTAAAATCAACAATTTTCTTGGGTTAAATATTCGTCAAAGTAGAGAAGGAATTTTCATCAACCAAGAAAAATACACGAAGAACTTGCTTGAGAAGTTTGGAATGACGAATAACACGAAGCTAAGAGTTCCAATGACAGTTGGAACGAAATTAACACCTTCGTTAGATACACCTGCTGTTGATCTTACTTTGTTCAGAAGCATGATAGGTTCTCTACTTTATTTAACTGCAAGTAGACCTGATATCATGTTTTCTGTATGTAATTGTGCAAGGTGTCAAGCAAATCCAAGAGAACCACGTTTAACAGTTGTGAAAAATATCTTTCGTTATCTCAAAGGAAAATTTTCGTTAGGATTGTGGTATCCTTCGAAATCTGGATTTTTCATTCAAGCCTTTTCGGATTCAGATCTTGGTGGATGTACTCTTGATAGAAAAAGTACAAGTGGAGGATGTCAATTACTGGATGGGAAACTTGTTAGTTGGCAATCGAAAAAGCAAACTTGTGTTGCAATTTCCACTACTGAAGCTGAATACATTTCTGCTGCTGCTTGCACTTCTCAAATCATCTGGATTCAAAGCCAATTGCGTGATTATGCAATTAATATGAAAAATATTCCATTGTATTGTGATTCACAAAGTGCTATACGCATTTGTTATAATCCAGTACAACATTCGAAAACGAAACATATTGCTCTTCGTTATCATTTCATAAAAGATCACGTTGAAGATGGAAATATTGAAGTTCATTTTGTGAAAACAACTGATCAACTTGCTGATATTTTCACAAAACCTCTTGATGAAAAATCTTTTATGAGAATTTTGGCGGGTTTGGGAATGTTAGATGCGAATTCTGTACCAGGATCAATCATACAAAATTAACGAAGTTCCTATTGGTATAAAGGTGTTGATTCAGAGGCAAAATGATTCATTCAGAGGTTGAACGTATTAACCATTCAGAGGTTACTGTTCACATTCAGCGCTTCGACACGCTTCGTTTTCGTATATTGGAGCTGAAAATTTTCGTGTGTTTGGTATCATCTTTAAATTTCGTTAGTTTGTCTTTTATTCTTTGAAAAACTGAAAAAAAAACCAAAAATATTTTCATTTCTTTGTAATCATTTTCGAAAATTCAAAAATTCCAAAAAGATTTTCTTTTGTTGCATGTTTTATTTTTCGAAAAATTCAAAATCACAAAAATAATTTTCTTTCTTTTCAAAAATATAAAATCCAAAAAGATTTTTGTTACTTTGTTATTTTTTTCAGGTATCAAGGATGTTTACACGAAGATATTTTCAAGGGTCATGCTTATGTTTCTTAGGGAAGGTATTTTTCTTCAAACTATGGACTAGTTAAGATGTCCTTAGAAGCATGCTGCTGCATGTCGACCCAAGCCTCCAAAGACTCAATGTGTGTTTACGAAAGCCTTAATGAAATTTTTCGTACGAAAGTTTCTTCCCAATCAGGCTTACATTCGCATTAGTCACTGAGCTACCTTACTCTTCTCAAACGAGTTAAAAGTTTACTGTTTGGTCCATGTCTAATAGAGGTACATTCGAATCTTTCACCATCTTTTTCATCACAAAATTCTTAACACTTTTCACGCACAAAGACACATGTTCAAGAGGTCATTGATCAAACCAATCATGGCTTAAACATGTCAAAAATCTGTGTTAATGATCTTAATTCATGAGACCGTGATGCAAGTGAAACCCAAATATACGAAATTATCAAGGAATTGACGGGGAACTTCGTTCCAGATTCTTACGAAACACTTGTTTCTGTCCCAAAATTTTGTATACTCCAAATCACATTCTTTTGTATGAGTGGTCTTGATCAAATGTTCGAAGCCCACGAAATTTGTTTCCCAACAAGATCCAGCTTAAATATTTTTCTTTGGATGTGATTTCAGTGTGAGTATCAATTCTTTTCTTTAGTCACTTTTACATAATTTTCCAAAGCAACTTGTCACTGACTACACTGGTCAAACAAGTAATTTCGGTTACAATTACTCACCTTATGTTTAGGATGATATGTAACGAAATTCGTAAGCCACCCTTTGAAGCCTTGAAAAAGAAGCCCTTTGATACTTCTCTATAAGTATTCGATTGTAATTCACGGGAACATACACAAGCTGTTGATTATCTCTCTTGATAATTAACGAAGCAACCTTTGCCCGGGGTTTAACTGACTTCGTGTCTAAATTTTAGACATCACAGAACCCAAATTTTTGTTAATTTGGTTCTTATCTTTTTCCTTGGCACACTGCACTCACGAAATCCTTGAGGTTCTAAGTAATACCAACTTAGGCTGAAGATTTCACAAGACTGGAAAATGACTTCGTTTTGAATCCCAAAAACGAAAGAGCCTAGCCTCCAATCCGAAGGGTTCGATCTTATCCACTTTGTACTCACAAACAGTCTAAAGTTACCGTTTGGCAACTTGGCCCTAGTTTCAAGGTACTTTATGAGACGTGATGGGATAAACGGCTACTGGTGCGAGTTTCAAGGAATGACGTGGCCTACTCTTTAATGATAAACGGTTCAAATTATTTTTGGCTTACCTATAAAAGGAAAATCCTTTTCCTTTGATCATTATGCGATCAAAAATTCACAGACGACCAAAAAGCCCTAATTTTTCCAAAAACTTTCAAGAACTCACAAATGGCTGCTATTCAGAACTCCAACACTAAAGAGTTTGAATCTCAACCGTTGATGAAAATTCAAAGCACCAACTACCAAGTTGAGGCCAATGTTTCATTGTATCTTGAAGAATTGAAGATGCTAATCGTTGCCCTGAAACGATCTGGATTAGCAACTGCAATGTTCAACTCATTCGCAGTCCCGATGACATGGTTGTCAATAGCTGCCTCAACTGCTTCTTATAACAAGGCAACATATGTCATTACCTTCAATCTAATCAATGAGAAGAGAGTTCGCCTGACGATGAAGATGTTCACTCAGTATCTGCAAAATTCCTAACTCTCCACCATTCTTTAAGCCTACGAATCCACAAATCATGCACATGTTCAACGAGATGGGACACCAGCCCCCACTCGAGAAGATTAGTGATTTCAAGAAATCAGGACTTCCTTGTATGTGGAACTTCTTCTTTGGAATTTACATTAGATGCTTGACGGGAAGAATTGTAGGACTTGACAAAGGTAGACTGGAAGTTTATGCAATGGTAATGGGTCTTTACTATGATTTGAGTGTTGATTATGCCACTCAGTTATGGAAGGAGATCGTTAAAAGTCTGGAGAACACGAATCTGGTGAAGGGGATTTCGTGTGCAAGGTATTGGAGCCTTGTTCTTCAGAAGGTATATGGAAAAGAGCGAATCCAAGTCCCTGCTGATGAAACTACTGCTGAATTTGCAAAGTATCAGTTTCCGAAAGTTGTGGAGGATGATACGAATATTTTTCCAAGTGTAGCACGAATTCCCGATGCTATGCTAAAGAAGGTGAATCCTACTCACAAGGTTCTTGTGAAGTATTTGAAGACTATTAATCCCGATATGGAAACATGGGTTTTGCTTACAGTCGAAGCTGTAACTTCTAAACAATCCAAGAAGTCTAAGGATGATGAAGCAGAGGTACCAGTTACAAGTACGAAAAAGTCTACATCCAAGTCTCCTAAGAACAAGCCTGAAAGTGATACGAAGAGGGCAGAAGAGGTTATTGTTGTTAAGCCTTCGAAGTAAGTGATGCCATCAAAGTCGGGAGTATTGAAAAGGTTAAGAAGACTGTCAGACAAACGAACTTTGTCTGATGACTCACAGACAGTTCGTAAAGTTCAAGTCAGTAGCAAAGGGGTCATTGTTCGTGAGATCCCTGCTCCTGCTTCTCCATCATCTAAAAAACGAAGGGCTCAAGATGTAATCAATCATATCTCAAAGAAGCAGAACAAATGAAAAATCGTTCTTCGTGACGATTGGTCCGAAAATGAAGTGGTCCCTGATACACCACCAGTTTCGTCTACTCCCATGGTAACTTCAGTTCCTGTCATTTCATCAGTTACTCCTATTATTCCTATTAAACCTTCAACAACTATTCCACTCGAAATAGGGTTGACCAAGTCAATTTCTGAGGAGGTCCCTATTTCAAACATCCCTGGTAACGTATCTGATACAGGAGCAAATGTTTCAGTGAGTGTCGACGTTTCACAACCCATTTCTCTTTCAACTTCATTACCAATCATTTCATCATCATCCTTAGTTTTGTTACCACCATTTGTTCATCCTATATCCACTGTCACCACATCACCAATCTTTGACAATATCCTTAAACAACCTATCACAACTTTGTTTTCATCACAATCCACTGAACCACAAAAGCCTCATTCCGATGATGAAACAGAAGGAGGAGGTTTCGGAGGAACATTTGAAGATTTGCACTTCGATTCAGAGGAAGAAGATATTCCTGATCATATGCTTATGTCAGGAAAACAGTTTAAAGTGCTAAATCGAAAGCTTAATTATATTCTTCAATTTCAAGCTGACTCAGGGTCAAAGCATTCTGTATCAGGAATAGAAGTTGATGTGATACTAAAAGCTGTAGAGCATCGTTTGCAACATCAACTTGATGTAAATGATAAAAATAACGAACTTCGGATCAAAGCTCAGGGTGATCTGTATAACTCTTCATTAAAGGAGCTTTGAAATTTTGCAAAAGAGAGGCATGTTCTCTTCATACAAGATGTGAAGAAGGTACGAGAGGATGTGAATTTCAAACTAGAAGAATTGAAGAAGGAATTTTCGAGTGAAATTCATCAAGTAAATGATCGTTACAATTCGATTCAGGAGAAAGTTGATATTGTAGCGGGGGCTGTAACTAATTTCATTCAATCATTTCAAGCAACTGTACCAACGTTCGAAGCCAAGGCAATTGAAGATAAAAATCAGTTTGCGAAACTGAATGCCCTACTTGTAGAATTGAAAGAAGTTGTCTCTAAGCCTACTCGAACATCATTCTTAACTCCTGAGTTGCTTACTCAGAAGTTAAACATTCTTGATCAAGTCATACAAAAGGTTGTTGCTCCTATCACAAAGTTTGCTCAGATGTTACCACAGAATGCCCCACCTGCTGTCACAGGGGTGCAAGGGGAAGAAAGGAGGGTGAGCAAAGGGTCAGAAAACAATAATAAGGGAGAAGGCATTGGAAAAACAAATGACGATGCAAAGGTTGTAGGGAAGGTTCTGACTTCCAAAATTCCGATTTCATTACCTACCAACACTGATTCTATTTCAACAACAATTATGACTACAAAACCACTTGCAAGACCTATTGTCAAAGGAATTGTAATTGGTTGATCAAATGAAGGGGGAAGCTCAAGTTCTTCAAAACCAAATCCTGTTTTGAAAGATAAAGGGAAAGGTGTTGTAGTCAAAAAGTCTAAAGAAGAAAAGAAAGCAGAAGTCGAAGCCGAGATAGAACTTCAGAGGCATATTCAAAGTATCTTGAGGCTGAGGGAAAGTGATCCTCCAGGCATGGAGAAGGGAGATCCGAAGAAACTCTACAGTTACGAATCTATAGAGTCAAGGGTTGCATTCAATCACATATATGCCTTTGAAAAGAAGCTGAAGAAAAGTTATTCCATAGCCAACACAGACATGAATCAGCTTGATTTCCCTATTAACGAAATGATGTTCATAACAACTCAGTACAAGATAAGCGAGAAGTTCGAAAATGCTGATGACTACACACACATGAAGATTCGTTTTCATGCTGTACTTGGAAAGGAACCTAAAGAAGTATGGTCTCTCATCAAAATCAAGAAGGTTGTTGCAATAAAGAAAGATGTGTTGTTCAAAAACATGATACAAAACTTTAGGTATCATGTTGTTCGTGCGAACAATCAACAAGACGACTTCAGTGTTGCAGATTTCCCACTAATAAACTTGAATGATCTGATTCAAGTTGCGTTAATCTTGAAGGATATGGAAGCATCTCAACTTAAGGGTACAAACAAAGAGGTGTTCAGACTTGGTCTTGCTCACATTAAAATTTTCATTGACAATTATTATGATTGTCTGGCCCTGACGGACGAAGAGTTGGCTTCGGGTATGGAAAGGAAAATAACAGTTGCTATGTTACCTTCGAAGCCACAACCTGAACTGAAGAAGTATGCAGATGGTGAGATATGCTTAAAACCGTTTGGCATGGTGTTTGCTGGAAAAGATACAAAGGGGAAAGCCAAAAGATTCTTATTCCAAGTTGCTGAGATAGAAAGATACACAACTTCACAATATACGAACTTCATTGTTCTTATGAATAATTGTACGAAGAATAATGAAGGCGACAAGACCGAGTTGAAGAAAGTATTAACTTGGTATTTGGAAATCAGAAGGATGATGCACTTCGCTGCTCAGATTCTCACGAATTGAGTAGTTCGACTCGTTTACAAAGGGGGAGATTGTTAGGGTCGAAGTCTTGTTGTAAAGAGTCGAAGTGTGTTTACTATATTTTGTATGTAATGTATTTACTAAGTCATTTCATGTTCGAAGCGTAACTCTTAGACTTAGTATTTTTTGTACTCTTAGTTTCCTATAAATAGGAACTGAAAATATAGTTAGATAACAAGTTTTCCCTGTATGTTGTCTACTTTTGTACTCTTGTTCATTTGAGAGTAATAAGAGCTGAAACCAGATTCTATTTACATTCAGTGTTCTTGATTGATCTTTGGCTTGTTTAACTCTGATTTTATTCGATTTCTCGTTACAATTCCTCTTCAAGTTATCCTTCCAAAATCATCTTTTCCATTTTCCTTGAAAATATGGCTGGTATATTTTTATTGATCTCTTACCCCAACTTGTTTTGTTGCTTAAAATATGGTATCCTAATTCTCAAACTCTAATGTTATGTACTAATATTTCAGACTGTTCTCATGTGGAACAAGAAAAGGAAGTGAAACCCAATTGGTTGAGTGGAATGTGATTAATGGAGCCATCAAGAGGGAATATTCTGGTTTAAGAAAGAAGTTTATGGGGGTTGTAGACTTCGACACCCTAAGAAATCGTTTCTTAGCTGCTGGAGACGGGTTTCACATAAAGTTTTGGGACATGGATAGTATCCAAGTGCTGAAACATACCTATACAGATGCTCGATTGCATGTGAGTACACAGAACCACTTGCATTTCTTTAATGACATTTCTTATAGCATTTAATGACAAGATCAACCAATAATGTTCATGGATATGATGAAACTTCACCATTTTGGAAATTACTCTTGAAATCCTGTTTGTTGCATTTGTTTGATATAAATGCACATGCTTCACATGTGTACATGTGTGAGTGTTCCAAAACACATTATTAGTTCCAACACATGTCACTATGTAGTATATGATGAAAAATATCTTCCTAACACATGCTTGTTACACATTTCATTAACAAAGAATGATATTTTTGGCTAAGCGGCAGTTATTACATGAGTGCGTAAAAGGAACTTGTGGATGCTAAATGATTGGAGTCTTATCTTACTTTATGTGTTTTCACTTTTCAGGCAAGTCCTAGATTAAGATTTAACAAGGAAGGGTCATTGCTGGCAGTCACCACATGCGACAACGGAATTATAATCTTGGCAAATGATGATGGGCAGCGCTTTGTCACTGAATTAAAAGATGGAATTTATAGCGAGTCCAGGCATATACAGTTTCAAAGGTGTAGCTATTTATAGAGAATATGGAGTTTCAAGTGTGTAGCTGGAGCACATATTTTGTTTGTTTGGAATTGCTTTTTGGCGTCTTGTTAACAATGTATTCGTGGTAACGACAATATACACTTGGACCAGAAAAACCGGTACCCAAAATCCATTATCCGTTGGCAATCTTGTAAGTTATACCCTTTTACTATAAACATGTAATTTTTATTTATGTGCTTATATTCTATAATATGTGAACATTATAGGCTAATTCAGAAAGCAGTAAGGATGTGGAGATCAAACCAAGAATTATGGATGGTGCATGGCGGCAACCTTTGCAATTTATAATTTGGTTACTATCCAATTATGTTTTCATCATTTAACTAAGCTGTGTAATATTTATAGTTAATTTCTACTGTTTATTACGTGTATCTATTTTTCTCCGTCTCTTTTTTACAATCTGTTTACAGTTCTTGTACATTTCTAAAGGTATCAGTTTCAATAGATGAATGGATTTTTAAGACAGGGTATAAGCCTAAGTCCTCACATATGTGAACTAACTTTAACAAGTGTCCAAACAGTTAACAGAGTGCAAACTCAATGATAAGAACAACGAATAATGATTCAAATGCGACTTGATTGAATTTCAAATGATAAATGAAGAAATACAAGAGAAAACCTAAATCAAATGGTTCTCCCTTGCCCAAGCAACGGTCGGATCTGGACTAAAAGGGTAGGCTTGACCTCCAGCCAGAAAGTGGGGAACTTGTTATAAACTGTGATTGTATCTGTCCATGTGGCATCTTCTTGACGGCTGCCATTTTACGAGCCATTATTGAGATTTTTTCTCCTTTTGATGAAACTTCACCAAGTGCGAAGCGTTGTTCTGGAATTAGTAAAGTGGGAGAATCCAACTTCAAGACCCGATGGGAGGGTGGGTTCCATTATGTGAGTGCCCACAACTTTCTTTAGAAGGGAACCATGGAAAATTGGATGGATACATGTAGATCTGGGAGTTGGAGTTTGTAGGAGACCTGATTGATTTTAGAAATAATTAGGAAAGGCTCGTAGAATTGTGGTGCCAATTTCTAGTTTATGTGGTGTATGGTTCGGTGTTGGAGGTTGGGACGAAGTTTTAGATAAACCCAATTGCCGATATTAAATTCTACCTCATGGCGGTGCTTATCTGCTGATTTTTTTCATTCGATTTGGGCCTTTCCAAATGGTATTTGAGATGTTTTAGGGCATCGACATAGTCTTGAAGGTCATTTTCCGCAATGTGCATTTGACTTCTACGAGAACAAATTATATGATGGTGGGTGGAGAGCATCCTACACTACATGAAAAAATATAGTGTTGGTAGATACGTGATATGAAGAATTGTGCTAGAATCATGCCCATGGTAGCCAAAAAGTCCATGATTTGGGCTTATCAGAAGCAAATCAATGAAGGTATGTCCCAAGACTTCGATTAACTCTTGGATTAGGCATTCTCTTCAGCCTTCATTCCCTGTTTCGAAACCCTAGCCTCCCTTCCATGGTTGTGAGCTTGGTGGTTTGGTTTTAAACTTTCTTTCATGGTTTTGTGAAGCTTGAGGAAGAAGGAACACCATCTTCGTGCAAAGAAGCAGGGAGTTAGATTAGATCCATCATCGTCTTCAGATTTCTGAGTCATTTGAGGTATAAAGCTTGTATCTTGACCTTTGTTCTCTTTGAATCAAGATTATGCTCTTTATGGATGGTTTCGGTCCCTTTCATAAATGCTCTTGGAGTTTAAGTGACTCTGGATCTTGTTATGGCACTCTCTTAGCTCTTGGACTTCTATGGAGTAAGAAAAAGGTCCAAGTTTGGGTTATCTTAAGTCCATGCTCAAGGACTTGGTCTTTGAAGGACTTAATGGACTTAGAGTTGTAGATCTTGTTTTGTGGTGATGTCTTAATGGGTAAAGTTAAAAACTTTATCCATTAAGTCAATGAAAAAACCAAATCTAAAGTTATGGGCTTTGACCTATAAGGATTAAGCTCTTAATGAATAAAATAACATTCTGCCAGAAACCACAACGTGGCGGTGCTCGTCATCTCGACTGTTTGGTCCTGACTTGGCCACGGTGTGGTGACCATTGACTGTTGTTAATCGTTGACCGTTGACTTTTGACCAGTTTGATATTAGGTCAAACTTGAAGAATTTAGATTGTTGATTAAGAATTGATCTTTATTTGGTGATAGCCGGTTTGTGGGATTGATCAGTGCAGGAAGTGAGAGTGTTGTTGTGCTCCTCCGGTTTTGCAATTCAGGTGAGTCTTCTCACTATGTCAGATATGACATTGTATATCATTTGTATGTTAGGATAATGGTACTGATAGACTACATGTATGCTATTTGACTAGGATATCTCTTTGTTATGTATGTATAGTATGGGACACTTGGTGTCATGGTATGATCAACTGGTAGGGTCTTTCTTGTTGGTTGTATGATATTGTTAGATGTCATGTTTAGCTGGGGTAATGATATTATTAGTTGATCGTTGAGTGGATACCCTAAGGGTTGTATGTAGTTTAATTTGGATAGCCTGGGAACTCTTGGTCTAGGCTCTCTTTCATGGTCATTGTTTGGTTGTGGCTTCAGAGGAGGATCATGTGTTCGACTGTCTATCTGACTCCCGACTACATATGACTATGTGTTCATGAGGCAGTGTCAGTATTAGCATTAGCTCGGTATAGTTGTGGTTCCGACGAGACGCAGATGATTGCATGGCAGCTGAGACTCGGTAGTAGTGACGGATGAGAGTCGGTCATAGTGGTAGCTGAGAGCCAGTGGCCAAGTGCTAGGATATGATATGTATGATTGATGTGCATGTTGTTTTCTTGTGGATAGGAGAGTTGGAAAATCGGCACCAGAGCCAAAAAAAATTCATGTATACAGTGTATGTATGGTGGAATATGTGGTATATTGAGGAACCTACTAAGCTTGATGCTTACATTTGTGGATAAAATGTTTTGTAGGTTGTTCGTGAGAAGAGCTCGATGGGACTGTACACATGCATTGAAGATATTGATTTTCGTTGTTTTTGTAATTCGACTATGTTAACATTATGGTTTCAAAAAAATGAATGTCACTTATTAATTTTAAGTAAATGATTTTAATTGGTTGATCCATTTTAAAATGAAAAATATATTTGAAATTTTTGGGACGTTACATTGGTGTAGCTATTAGCTCTAGAATTTTCAATGAAATACATAATATTGTTCAGTTATTTTCATGGCATTTTGCTCACTCCTGACACTATCCTATGATGTTTTCATTATGAATACAACATTGTGGTGAATTCTTAGGATTTCCTAAAAGGCAATACTTTAATGGAATACATTCATACATTGATATTTTAGACATAGGTGAGTTCTCAGTTCATGAGTTCTCAGTTGTAATGAGTCTTTGTGATTTGGATGTTGTGTTGTTGGCCTTAGGTAATGAAAATGATGTATGATGACTAACAAACTATTTTCCAAAACATAGATTGTCATAGATGTACATTGAATTATATAGGACAAGGGTTCATACTTGTTTCCGTGCTGGCTGGGGAGTAATATTGTTATTGAGGAATATGAAGACGATGGTACACCTAAGTGTATGGGAGACTAGGTTCAAGAAATTCTGGTAATATGAGGCCACCATATGGTAAAAATTCTTAAACCATAGTGGATGTCCGATCAGGGTTATAACCTTGGTAATAATACATAGTAATAATACAACAGTTAGTGGACAACTTATCCCACCCCAAGTCAACTATGCAATTTCCCAAGATTTCGACCACGTATTCAAAGGAGGTCAGATAATGTCACAAGAAAAGGGTGACAATGAGATACACCATAAATCATACACTTAAGATTATTTTGATGGAAGTGAAGATAAATAAGATGAAAGTGAGGATGATTTCATTGTCGATGAGAAGGACTTATTGTTGAATGTAGAAGTTTTTATGAATGATTTTCACTTGAAGCTGAAAAAGAATCAAAGATCAATTCAGAATGGATTGAACCCATATCAACCTTAATTGATGTTATAGATGGAGATAATGAAAATCTATAAATATTGGACCATGAAGACTTTGGCTCCATTTTTAAGGTGAAGATGGCACAAATAGAATAACGAGAATGAAGTAAAGGGTATTGAGGAAAAAGAACAAAAAGGATGAAGTATTTGCTAGTTCTAAGGGGACTCACTTTCATGTTCTTCAATCCTTCTACACATCTAAAGAAGTTAAAGAAGAAATTAAGAATCATGCAATAGAAGTTCCCAGAAGGATAACCAAATTTCTAAGAGCTTCTCCTCCTCTCTCCTTTCTCATCCACTTGCTTAGTTTGGGTGTGATCTACTATAGGCGTGACACTTGTGACGCTTGCTCTCGAAGTTCAAGATTATGAGGTTTTCAAATGTTTTTGCTATAAAACAATCAAGGTATGTTTTTCTTAACCCTATTTTTATAGATTTCAAAAATAGTATATACCTTCTAGGGTTTTCTGTTTGATGTTCAAAAGTTGTATGTTCAATTAGAGAAAACATAGATCCAAGAATTAAGGTTGCATGCATACATAGTTTATTGTTTGTTGTGCTCAAAACCCATCAAGAGCCTCTATGCTTGGTCTTGTCTGATTAAGGCTTTGGGGCTCGAAGCATCACCTGAACACTTGATTGGGGTATAGTCGGATGTGGGTTCGACTTAGGATGATTGTGGTTGATCTGGTAGAGGTGTGGTAAGACCATGTGCAATGACCATGGCGGGATTGACGTGTCGTAAGACTACAGGGTGGCCATAGCATTCATTGGGTTGGCAGATAGTATGAAAGTATTGTAAGACTGCAAAGTGGCCGTAGCATTCACCAAGATATCAGGAAGTTGTGGGAATTGTTGTAAGTCTGAGATGTGATCGTAGCATTTTCCTAATTGAGGTAGACCATCGTTGGGGTGGTCGTTGGTATGAAAGGGGATCAGCTCATGCCTAGGGTAAGGCGGACAGTATTGTCAGAGAATATCTCCATGTTATGAGAAGATGACCATTAGGGTCCGAGGTGAGGTTGGGCCTGTGTAGCTATCGATGGGGTGAGACCCGTGGGCGTGGCCCTTTCGTTGGTATAGACTGGGTGAGACCCGTGGGCAACGCCCGTATGATTATGGCAATACATGTGAGACCTGATAGAGACTAATGGGGTCAAAGGATTTGGATTATGGTTTTAGTAGGATGATTATGTGGCCAGGGAGTGGCGTGCATAGACTAGGGTAGCCTTATTAGTTGGACTCTCAGGAACCTGGTAGTTGGACCAGGTGCGAGACTAGCAGTCTCAGCGGTGGTTTA